CTAGCAAAAGAAACCATGGAGCAATTACTTAGCAACGACGAACAACTTCCACAACAATCAAAAATGCAACACACAAGCTGGATGGAATGCATAAATCTATGCCTAACAACATACTTCCAATTCAACGGCCAAATATATGAACAAGTCAAAGGAACACCCATGGGATCGCCAATATCAGGTTTGATTGCAGAAGCAGTGATGCAAAGACTCGAAAACATAATTCTACCAAAGATCAAACCCAAGATTTGGATACGCTACGTCGACGACACATTTGTAATAATCAAAAGAAACGAATTAGACAAAACTCACAACTTAATAAACAACGTCTTCAACGACATCAAATTCACAAGAGAAGAGGAATCCGAGAACAAAATACCATTTTTGGACGTCTTAGTCAGGCGAACAACTACAGGAGAATTAGAAACTCAAGTTTATAGGAAATCAACTCACACAGACCAAATACGGAATTACAACAGCAACAACCCAATAGCACACAAAAGGAACTGCATACAAACACTATTCAAGAGAGCAAGGACTCATTGCAGCACTCCCACCTTAGGAAAAATTGAAGAAAGGTATCTCATGGACGTCTTCCAAAAGAATGGATATCCCCGGAATTTCATCAAGAAACATATACCCCCAAGCCAACCTACCAAAACAAAAGCCACCAAGGAAACAACAAAGAAAATCGCCTTACCATATATAAAGGATATCTCAGAAATCACTAAAAGACTCTTCAAACCTTTAGGAATTGACGTCGTACACAAACCAACAAAGTCGCCGCACTCAATTCTATGTCAACCAAAAGACTCAACAGCAAAAGAAGACAAAACCAACATCATCTACAAAATAAACTGTAACAACTGTGAAAAACACTACATTGGCCAAAGTGGACGTCCCCTTCGTCTTCGTATCCACGAACATAAGCTAGCCGTCAAAAGACATGATATACACTCCCTCATTTCACTACACACAGACAACCACGGACATCAATTAGACTGGGACAACGTTCAAATATTAGACAAAGGAAATAACAAGAATGCTAGAGAATTTTTAGAAGCTTGGCATTCCAGTGAATCATCAATCAATATACACATCGAGATAGACAAAATTTGTCAACCAATAAGAAAGAAACTTCACACACGATTGGCCAAAGTTCAAGTCACAGAAACAATCAGTTCCAACACAAGTAACCTAGAAGGTGTGAAAACATACATAAACAACCAATCACGTTCAAGGTCACCAGGAGGAATGATTAATAAACTCGTGGAGAAACCTAAAAGCTCACTTCAATTTGAAGTGTGCGCTGAAGATGTCACCCAGTAAGGTGATGAAAGCTTCGCAAACTAACTATCCAGCTCAGAGAACAAAACCACATCAAAATTATCCACCTGAGCTACAAATCTTCTCTATCATATCTAAATCTTACGAGCGGGATACGCTTCTCTCTGTTCGAAAGTGGGAAGTCTTCGCCAAAAGGCAAGGATCCACCAGAGAACAATTATTCTTTCTCCATGAGTGCCTTCGTCATTCAATCCTACCAAACAGTGTAAGATACAAGCCACCAGTCAACTGCCCAATGGGATGGAAATTGGCCGAACAATGTGGAAGACGAATGGTCAAATTAATGATTACGGACGCACATTATCGGATCAACAAATATCAACAAATAATAGATGTCCAAAAAGCAAAATTAGAGAAAACCCTTAACCAAGAACACCTGTCAACGCTGATCACCGCAATTTCACTGTCAAGTGGAAAACACAGAGAACAAAGACGAAGAGTCCTCAAAACCAAGCTAGCCAAGATTAGAAAACAACAACCAGACAATACGCCCATAGACTGCGTAGTCAACCTATCAAAACAACCACTATCAAAAATGGAACAACAACTACTACAAAAAGGATTAAACTACAACACCGGAGATGCTTCAAAAACTGATTTCTTCGCTGCCCTTGAATCATTACTCAAATCATCAAACTTGAACGAGGAAACACAGGAAGAAATACGCCAAACAATTGTACCAATGGTCAAACAGAAAAGACAACACACACAACTCAACTCTCAAGAACTAAAGGCCCTCAAAAAGCTGAAAAATAGGAAGGACATCGTCATTTTACCAGCCGACAAAGGAAGAACAACAGTAGTCATGGACAGAGAAGAATACACCAAGAAAGCTGAAGAACTACTCAAAGATGAAGATGTATATCAAGAACTCCCAACAAATCCCATACAAACATTGGACAACCGCATCCAAAGGACCTTAAACAAGCTCAGCAAAACTGGACAGATCACAAAACAAGACCAATAGCGAATGAAACCCAATGGACCAGTCCTACCTCGATTCTACGGCAGACCCAAAATACACAAGGCAAATATCCCGTTACGACCAATTGTATCACTCCCAGGAACTCCAACATATAATTTGTCCAAGGAATTATACAGAAAACTAAAACACCTAACGGAATCCTGTGATCACTCCATCAACTCTGCTATCCAATTCCTAGAGAAAATCAGAGACATCCAAATAGATGAACAAGAAATAATGGTATCCTTCGACGTGACAGCATTATATACCTCTATCGGACAAAAACTAGCAAAAGAAACCATGGAGCAATTACTTAGCAACGACGAACAACTTCCACAACAATCAAAAATGCAACACACAAGCTGGATGGAATGCATAAATCTATGCCTAACAACATACTTCCAATTCAACGGCCAAATATATGAACAAGTCAAAGGAACACCCATGGGATCGCCAATATCAGGTTTGATTGCAGAAGCAGTGATGCAAAGACTCGAAAACATAATTCTACCAAAGATCAAACCCAAGATTTGGATACGCTACGTCGACGACACATTTGTAATAATCAAAAGAAACGAATTAGACAAAACTCACAACTTAATAAACAACGTCTTCAACGACATCAAATTCACAAGAGAAGAGGAATCCGAGAACAAAATACCATTTTTGGACGTCTTAGTCAGGCGAACAACTACAGGAGAATTAGAAACTCAAGTTTATAGGAAATCAACTCACACAGACCAAATACGGAATTACAACAGCAACAACCCAATAGCACACAAAAGGAACTGCATACAAACACTATTCAAGAGAGCAAGGACTCATTGCAGCACTCCCACCTTAGGAAAAATTGAAGAAAGGTATCTCATGGACGTCTTCCAAAAGAATGGATATCCCCGGAATTTCATCAAGAAACATATACCCCCAAGCCAACCTACCAAAACAAAAGCCACCAAGGAAAACACAAAGAAAATCGCCTTACCATATATAAAGGATATCTCAGAAATCACTAAAAGACTCTTCAAACCTTTAGGAATTGACGTCGTACACAAACCAACAAAGTCGCCGCACTCAATTCTATGTCAACCAAAAGACTCAACAGCAAAAGAAGACAAAACCAACATCATCTACAAAATAAACTGTAACAACTGTGAAAAACACTACATTGGCCAAAGTGGACGTCCCCTTCGTCTTCGTATCCACGAACATAAGCTAGCCGTCAAAAGACATGATATACACTCCCTCATTTCACTACACACAGACAACCACGGACATCAATTAGACTGGGACAACGTTCAAATATTAGACAAAGGAAATAACAAGAATGCTAGAGAATTTTTAGAAGCTTGGCATTCCAGTGAATCATCAATCAATATACACATCGAGATAGACAAAATTTATCAACCAATAAGAAAGAAACTTCACACACGATTGGCCAAAGTTCAAGTCACAGAAACAATCAGTTCCAACACAAGTAACCTAGAAGGTGTGAAAACATACATAAACAACCAATCACGTTCAAGGTCACCAGGAGGAATGATTAATAAACTCGTGGAGAAACCTAAAAGCTCACTTCAATTTGAAGTGTGCGCTGAAGATGTCACCCAGTAAGGTGATGAAAGCTTCGCAAACTAACTATCCAGCTCAGAGAACAAAACCACATCAAAATTATCCACCTGAGCTACAAATCTTCTCTATCATATCTAGATACTATTGCGTATTAAAGGCACACCCAAGAAACTCACCTTACAACTGCCAAGAATAACCAATGATGTGTATCTCGCTCCTAACGCACCAGCGTTTAGCCCTCAGTATCACCAAGTATTCGCTTTGTATAAGCGCACCAAATGATATCACGGGATATTGACTTTAAAGTTCCCTTCCCTGGGCTACATTCGTGTCCCAATTGTCACTCAACTAGTGGGTCTATGCACCGATGCCCTAGTCAGCTGTTAACATTTCGTTTCTCCATTCGAATATGAGTTAGGAATTAAACTGCTGTCGGGAACACTCATGTCCATCCGCTGCCTAAATATTAATGCATTTTCATTGATTATAGATACGTTCAAGTGCCCCTAATCAAGTCTCATTTCAAACACCTTTCACACACTTAGATGTCAGTTTAAATACTCACTACTTCTGTCAAACACTGAGCAGATTGTTTGTCCTCTCACACTATTAGAACTGCTACTTTCCTACTAAGAGTAAACACTTTCTCTCCGCTAGTTTCCGCTGTACTTCTGATTTCTTTTCCTCACTCAGTTCAGACAACCAAAATGGGCGAAAGTTACGGAATTAGCTATTGGGCCTTAATAAAAATACTGTGTGGGTTCAAGCTACAATAAGAAAGGGTTATTTGTTGTCATCACCAATGGAATGTGAGGTAAAGTCCTGCCGGTTTAGATGCACTAAAAGGGGAAATAAGAGTCCATGTTCTACCGAAGAGGAAAACCATAGAGATAAACAAGATCTGAAGATGGAACGAAATCGCTTTAACAAGTAATGATATCCTATTACTACCTTGTCCATCCCACACCAACAGCAATTAACGCAACACAGATTGATCAGCATTATTTCACTCAGAAGTTGACCGCAATAAGTTCAGAGACAATGAAAACTACCTGATTTTACTCAGAACTTCTGGAAACCAAGCTCACTAAAGTTTAGTGATTAGGCGGCATTCCAATGGTGTGCTTGTTTGACTACGTAGTTGTAATAGCTGGGTTTAGTGTGCGGCATTTCTGAGTTGTCAAATTACTTTCGAGCAGCGTGCGACGATGTGCTCAGTGCCTAAGGCTGTAAACGTCCACAGTACCAATCAGATGACGGAAAATTTGAGCAGAAGTGAAATACTTCAGTGGGTTAACCACTCTTTAAATGCAATTACGAGAGAATTGAAGACCTTTGCACAGGTATTTGTGATTAGTGTGAATTACATTGTTTTCAGGCGCAGCCTATTGCCAACTAGTTGATATGCTATTCCCAGGTAAGGTTTCCAAGCATTCTAAATGTTGTTGCAGGCACACTTGATTTCAAAAAAATCAAGTTTAATGCGCAAACAGAATACGAAAGTACCAGGAATTTCAAAGTTCTACAGTCTCTGTTTAGAAAACACGGTGTAGATAAAGTAAGCAATAAGAAAATGCCTCATTTCCTTAGGAATTTCCAATCGAAAAGTTAGTGAAGGGACAAAGCCAGGAAAGCTTTGAGTTCCTGCAGTGGTTTAAACGAATGTTCGACGCGAACTATGATGGCCACCCGTATGATGCCTCCTCAGCTAGAGGAGGACAGAAAATCCTCGGTAGCGGGAAACCGAACCAGCCACAGCCCAATCCAACAGCCAGTCGAAGACGAGGTTGGTCAATATTTCCAACTCGTGAGTGCCAATCAGTTTGTTTAAATCAGATTTATGCCTAAAAGTGAAATTGACTGTTTGGCATTTGGAGGGGTCTAGGGTAAGACCGTTTTCCTTGGACCACTGACTGATTTCTGATAAAAAGCCATTTAGTTTGGAGCAGTTACTTCGATATTTGACAGGCGAAGATACAGTCAGGTCGTCAGCGTATTTAACAAAATTAATGTCATTTGAAGATGGTAGGTCATGTAGAAAGAGAGAAAAGAGAAGGGGAAGAGTACAGCACCTTGGGGGACACCAGCTTCAGTGAGCACAGCAGATAAGGATTTACCTTTGTATCCAGTGTACAGCATTCTGTTAGAGGAGTATGAATGCAACCAGTTTGTGTCATGGAGATCTTATTTAACAAGAGACATCTTGGTACAGAGTCGAAAGCAGAAGTGAAGTCGAGGAACGTGCAGCGGACGTATTTGGTACCTTGATCTAATGATGAGATGATACTGTTGTGTGAGACGGCTGCAGCGTCTGAAGTACTCCTCCCTGTCTGTAAGCCAATTGTTTTAGGTCTTCGAAGATTTTAAGGGAGGGTTCCAGTTTAAGAAGTACTAGTTTTGCATGATAAAAGTGTTTGGTTATAGATAGCATTAGGATTTTTGATTTCAGATTTGATTTGAGCATTAATCATTATTAGTCCTAACGTATCTTTGCGTTTATATAACATTTCTTTTTGCCTGCGAAGTTGTTTGAGATGGGGAGACGAGAAGCGGTCGAGACGTTTGAACAGTGTTTGTTTGGGACAGCATATGGCGAGGCAGAGCTTCAGACAATCCATTATATTGGTGACTGAGTCATCTAATGTACTTTCATAGAATAGTACTTTTTAACATGCATCTTAGATTGAGTAGGTTGTCAGATGTGTAGCATCTTTGTTGTGCCTTCACAGACAGGTGTGAGAAGACTTTGATATGTGTTTAGCTGTATATTTTGGTTGGGTTTTCGTCACCTATCTGTGTTTTAATATTCTATTAAAAATTAATCTTTGGCTTAACTTGTCACATTTTAAAATTTTCACAGGATAACTCTACTATAGCTGAAAATCACGAGCAAGAAGAGAATTAACCTTTGGTTCAATTGCAACAACCTGTCAGATTTGTGAATGTTTTAAGGAGTGTCTTTCTCAATCTCATCGAAAAAACCACTACGCATTTTTGATGTTATTGTAACTCAAGATTATTTACATATTTTCATATACTAACTTCCTGTTTATTTTGTTATTTTATTATTTCCACATACAAACAATAAATTTATCAACTGAACAACAGGGTCTTTCTGTTAGTAAATGCATGTGTCTTATTTGAAGTGATTCGTGTCGCTAAAATTATAATGGTCAAGTTTTGTAGCTCACGTGAAGAATGACGATTGTCTGACATTCTCTGCGTTTTATCTCTTCTGGTCTAATGAAACTTTCAACAGGAACTTTTATAAGGAATAGGATGTATTTCGTGATTTTGTCCTCATCGATTGCCGACTGACCTATGCGAATAGAGGTAACACTCCTGCTGGAATCCCCGAGATATTCTATATTTTGTGATAGTTCAAAATGAGTGAAGACTGATCCTTATCAAGCGTTTTAGAAAGGTGTGTCTATCGAGATAAATCACCACAAATTTTATATAATTTGAAATCAGCTTAGATCCTTGCGCACCGATTGCTGCGATTAGAACGTTGCTTTGTGGATACCCGCGGCTTCCTGCTGTTTCGATGGACACATGTCGTCCGTAGAAGTCCAGGTGTTATACAGTCTATTCGATTCAACGTATCCCAGTGTTTTCGCAATCCAGTCGACAATCAGCAAGAATGTCATCGGCCTTATCTCTGTCTTCACTTCAAAAGAGTCGTTGAATTTCAGTTGTGGATCACCCCATACTTGGAATTGTCACATAGCTATTGAATGAGGTTGATGAAGACTTGAGGCACTGCACTCCGAAGTGCTGAAGTGGTTTCTAAAATAACAGTTAAAACGAATACTCCTTTGTGTAGGTATAGAACTTGGGCACTGCATTAGACTGTAATTAAGTATTAGATAAGTTTATTTGATATAATACACAATGATGCAGAATTAACAACCAGATGATGTTTTGAGCAAAATTTATTGCTGATGAACATGTCAAATGATATGAGTATTATATGGTTAACGTCCGACGCAGAATGTCCCATGGAATGATCTGAGTTATCCGTGTAAGAATACTGGAAAGTGGTAAAACAGATTGTGCATACAGAAATCTCAGATGCCGTCCCTCCAGCCACAGTTCAGACACATAATAGGTCATCATTTCTGAAGAGGGGGTGTAGAAAAGAGCCATCCTTTCCACGATTTTCAAGTGTGGGAACAGGAAAAATGCCACCTGTTATAGGCCAGTAACGCTACTCCCAGTGTCATCGAAAGGTCCGGAATGTATAATTGATGATCACACCAAGGAGCATCTCAAACGGACTAACTGAATCCACGAAACACAACATGGTTTCAGGAGATGGAAATCATGTGTAACAATCTTCCTAGAATTTGAGAAGTCATTTGATACAGTTCACAGTGACTTTATCGTACGCGAAATAAGTCAGGCGGGTATGGGTGGGCCGCATATTTCACGGTTGGGGGCAACACATCTAAAAGGAAATTCTGCACTGAGGTAATTTAAGGCCAAACCTCTTGGTGTGGCTCGTCATTAGGAGTGTCGCAGAGTTAAATCCAGAGGCCATAGATGTTTTCGACTGATCAACCACCTACCATGCCATCTAAGCCACCCGACTCCCTTACGCTAACGACGTTAAGATTTGTAGAGCAACAAAGTGTTGGGAACACTCAGATAGGCTTCAGGCAGACCAACAAATTCTGGAAGACTGGATGATGAGCAGTGGTATGACTTTCAACCTGAAAAAGTGAAATTACATACGTGTAGGCTGAAGAATGCAGGTTACACATTGTGAAACGAAAGCTTGTCCTGCACAACGTTGGAGAGTGACTTAGGTCCAGTTCTAACGGAAAATATGGACACAAGTGTGAATTACACTGGGGATGTAGCGAGGGCATATGCGGTCATGCACTTAACACATAGACAGTTAGGTGCACTCACTCCTGGGCTCTTTTTGAGTTTGTGCAAAACGTACGTGAGACCACATCTAGAATTGCACAATATCATTGCACTGCCACTGCAAGAAGATACACTAGCCTTTTGGAAAGAGTCCAAAGACGAGCGACAACAGGGGTGATGGGTCTGTGAAACAACTCATATGATGAATGGCCAAAGAAATTAGGTCTATTCACACTCAGCTACCGTCAGCTTAGGGGGATTTGATTACTGCCTACAAAATAACAAATGACCATAATCACCAAACAGAGGTTTTCTGCCATTGAGTACGTATGAACTCCCTCGTGGAAATCCCCGAAATACGGCTCACCAGAGGTCAAGGACTCGGGTACGCCCCCACTTCACTTCACTGCGGGTTTTCCATCCCTGGAATTCCTTACCGGCAGATGCAGCTATATCATCATCTGTGGACGCCTTGAAGCGAAGGCTGGAAAATCAGGCAGCGACACAACGACTGCGTCCAAATGGCCTATCTCCTTAGAATCTCATACACCATTCAGTGGTAGAGAGCTAAGTTCATCGTTCTACATCTTCACCCTGTCTCGTGTCTTACTCTTAATACTAGTTATTATTGTTTTTGAACATGTATATATATATATATATATATATATATATATATATATATATACATTTACGACATATATACATACCATATATACGTATATTCCAAATTTATCTAGCCATCTGTTTTGACGTCCTCTTTTTTTCCTTTATTTTTTATGTCTATATCCTAAATTAATCTTATCTGTTATCGTCAGTAATGTTATCTCTCTTTTCAACCACCCTGGATGACTGACGGGTGGTAGCAACTAAGGCCTTAGCGCACCACGTAATACGAGACACAGATATACACATTTGATCTTAGGGAATACCTAAAGAATGGTTGCAGAGAAGAAAATTTCCATTTCGATGAAGTCATCGGCTCGACTGTATATTCGCACATTTACAGTAAATAGGTGGGTAAGTTCCGGAACTGTTTCAGGTCAAAGGTCAAATTATAAAATTAACAAGTCTAATAAAGATGGAGATCGGATACAGAACATAATAAGGTAGATTGGTTGTAGTATAATCCTATAAATATTTCACGTCTAAGGCCGAATCAGTTAAATTACAATTAGGAATTCAAACGCTATGTAAACTGGGGCGGATAAGGCTTAAACAGAGTAGCACCATAATCACTGAGAACATCGACACATTGTGCAATTAGGGGTTCGAAATGTGGAAACAACAACAATAGACAGGAGGGTTGGACAAAGAATCCAGTGGGATTATAACTAATGTGACGAATAACCGTCTATGCGAATGAGGATTAAATTTGTAGAAATGACAAAATAGGCTGGAAGTTCGGATATGAAAGGCAATGGGCTAGTCATTATTAGAAAAACCAGCTATTTATGATGGCCGTGGCAAGGAAAAGGGTTTGGCGTAAGTGAAAGGATGGACGACGTCGCCATTCCTCCTCAACTCCTCTTCTATCGCTGGAACTGTGAAGAATGCAGATCTGGTATCTGAAAAAGACCATTCAACCTTCACCATGTACACGATACCTCCTCACTGTGCACCAAAATACAAGCTAACCAAATTGAAATTAATTATCAAGAATACTCATGTGCTTCGCAGCGTCGAAATGCAAACTACTTTTCCAAGCAATCTAATTTAGCAGTCACTCTCGCAAAACAACTCTCCAACGTAATCAACTTGGTGGTCAAAGTGTCATTAAGCCAGAAGGGACGAAGGCTCACTATCGAATATCGAAACTCAGAGAACGTCAGACAATTGTCATTCTCAGCGTGAGCTACAAATCTTCTCTACTATCTCGTACGTATTGCAAGCTTGATAGACACTTGGAAAGAACTGTGTTAAACCACACAATTTATGTACTACGTTTGAAGGATACACAAAACCCCAGTGAATGCTTCTAATAACTTCTCCGTCTATCAGCTCGAAAGGTCCCTTCTATGTGTGTTTACCCACTGACTTCTGGCGTCATTATCTCTCTTACCTGATGTCAGTGTCTCACAGAGCTCTAAATTCGGGGCTTCACCACTTGAGTGCATAGCTATCAACAGGCCTTCAACCTAGGAATCTAGAATAGAGGAATTAACTCTATCGACAATGTGAAGTGCACCACAACCATCAGCCTCACGACTAAGTATTAAACCGTGACAGAATTGAGGCTAGTAGCTGACACTACACCACTTAAAATAACGTCTCCTTAATAAACGCTGTTTCTCAGAGGCGCTGGCTTGTGATTTCACATCATCAGTAACCTGAGAAGGATCTCACCAATAACAAAATACAATACTGCTTGTATCAGAATATTAAGGTCTGATGGTGACAACTTGCATGTCAAATCGAAGTGACGAGTGCGTGTGGAAGTAGTGAGGAGCCGTTGAATCAGTAGTCTAGTGTTCGAAATCCATATATGAGGGCAATAATCATTGAGTCTCTTGACATTAGGACTGCATTTGATTCCTTGGAAACAACCTCCCTTCGAAATGACTGTCAACGAGTAGTCTCCGTGTGAGGTTTATTAACATCTCTAACATCCAATGCAAAATCGCGGAGGACAGAGTAGGGGAAACGATTGACGACGTCGCCATTCCTCCTCAACTCCTCTTCTATCGCTGGAACTGTGAAGAATGCAGATCTGGTATCTGAAAAAGACCATTCAGCCTTCACCATGTACACGATACCTCCTCACTGTGCACTAAAATACAAGCTAACTAAATCGAATTTAATCATCAGCTGTACCTATGTTGTTCACATTGTTTATCTTTTGGGTTAACATCGCTGTTTTAGAGGAGATGTGATTTTTCTCGATTATTGTACGTATTCAGGTATTTCTTAGAATGAGGTGAATGTCCCCCATCAATTGTGTATAGAGAGAAGTATTATTCATAGCAGCTTTATTGAAAAGAACATATCACTATTTGGAATACAATCACAGCTTTTTGAATAGTAGGCCAAATGAAGGTTGCAGGGAATACCAGGAGCATACAGGAATTTCAAGTGACGAGTAATTCTTAATAAGTATGTACCTGTATGAGACATGTTCTGTACATGTTTCTGAATCTTCAATCAATGATTTTCCTGTTCTGTATTACCCGAAGTATTTGAGTGATCCTGTAGATCGTGGAAATGGAAATTTAGATATTAATTCAGTAAAACA